ATTATATTACTGCAATGCATATATTGAAAAACAAGTCTCTTGGATTCTTGTCAATCAGAAGTCCGCTTTTTTGTCCACCTTGATGTGCGATATCCAGGCCTACATACCCAATCCACATTATTTAGCAATTTATCTTATTTTCCTGAGAACTTGTCTGTAGCCCATACGGCTAAGGGTATGTTCATGCATGATATAGCTTTTTTAAAGCTGTTCAATTACAGGTCTGACGAAGAATTATGCGAAAAATCTCAGGTATAGTAACTTGTGCATTCATCATCAGCATATTTCCCCCTGCTTGGGTATCGAGGGCTAGTTATGACGGTTCTCAGTATAAATAGTTATCGAGGCTATCAGTAAAGCCTAACGACAACTTATTCATCTTTGGCCACTTTAGATGATTATTTTTACAGTGAGATGAATGGGCACTGTTTGCTTTGGCGTTCAGTCCAAATAGCTATCCCATCCGCTTTTATTTCACTTTCCACCTTGATTAGGTCTTATCGCCGAAACCTTCAGCTGTATGGCGAGCAATAACGTCACCATGGCTTTCCCGACCCGGCATTGAATCCAGTTGAGGATACTAATAAGACTCTTGTCAAATCGGGATTAGATGCAAATTTTGTGAGACGGAGCAAAGTCCTAGAACCTAATCTCTCCGAGTAACCTAGTTTTGGCTAATTTAATATTTAAGGATTACTTATTATATCAGCATTACTTATGCCGTAAATAAATATCATCAGCATTCGCATTTGCAAATATATGGTGGAACATTCAACTATTTTTTTCTGTCCTTTCGCTATAATAAGTTGAGAATTGCCAGTGATCTTAAATGAGTACTTTGTCACCAAAGATGCATAAGTTTATCCACAGCGAACTAAGTAGGCACCAGGGTGTTAAAGCTAACTTAACCATGTCTCCGAAAACAGGCTTATTCCAACTGGATTGCTATTTCGGCCTCAAATGTTTCCTTGGTACCGCTAACTGGATTCGCTAGTTCATTCTACCTAGGCGAAGTCATGATTTTTCACGGTCATGGATACCCGTTCGTCAAACTTGGTATGAAATTCAAGACAGACCAGGCCTATCAGAATCAAGTAAGGGGATTTTAGAATGAGCAAATATAATTTTCTTTTTAAACGGTAGTGTTGCCAATTTAAATAAAAGTAATGCTGATAATAATTAAAGTGCCTGAATAAATAACTTATCCTGGATGAAGTAAGGTGATATATGAATAAGCATTTATTTTCTGAAAATAAGATGAGCAGGCCTCACGAAGAGAAATCCTACTTAAATTTACTTATCCTATTGTATGAAAATTCATCTATTCGTCTTTTAACCAACTAGATAGATCTATGGTGATGGTTATTTTTCTAGCAGCACTTCATGCCTTGGAATATATTTTTATCGTGACTACCTTAGCCGACAGCAATGGCGACTAGGTTTATGCTCAATCGAGGATGCTTTTCAGCATTATTATAAATATGTAATTTGATCTCGCATATGGATTGAATATAATATTTGCAAGCCTTTTGTCCGTAGTAATCAAACGAGAGAAAGAAAATGAAATTAGCCTGACCAAATATTAGCTTGTCATGGAGACTTAGTTGGACGCATTTTGTCGTCTCCCAATGTAGATATAACAATTCAATGCGCTGGACGTTGGACACAGGCACTTCGCCGTCATCGTAAGTGAATCTATTCATTCTCAGCACCAAGCTTCGGCTCATGAGACAGATGAAGTAAGTAACGTGACCGACTTTCTGTCGATTTATTGTTATAATTGTATCTTGGCGTCTGTCTACTCATGATCGTCGTACCTTACTCTTTAGCTGCTTCAAATAAGGATTTTATATATTCAAATAACTTTGAGGTGTGCATTTTTCGCGAGTTTAGTGGGCCGTCACCACCCCTGCTAGTCTGCCTCTCCCCAAATACCCACAATTAACCTTAATTTTTGTTCCGATTTGGACCTCTTATTCGAATCTCCCACATCGCTCCGAGCTTCGTTTCTTAGCTTACTAGTTGACTGACTTGACTTAGTTCCAGTCACAGACACTCATTCTCATGGTCTGCCTGAAACCTTTGGTAGCACGTATACATTGGCCTCGTGACGCTCAGGGCCAAGGCTCAGGTTTTGTCTCCACCTGTCACTTATTTGATTAAACCGGTGTAGATTGAGCAAACTGAAAATCTATCTCTGATCTAATACTACAGCTCGGATGGATTTCTAGTCAGCTTGGCTTCGATGTAATGGTTTCGACTATCCGTCTACCTATTCCTTTGATCGCCAGACAACGAAAGGTAGCCAATTCCTGGATAAATCTGCCTCCAATTTCCTGTAATTTATTTTGGTAGCGATGCCGATTTTGCACTTAATTTTCATTTTCGTTGTTTTCAGCGTATGACATCCTTTTCTGCCTTTGGATGACTGTCTATTTCGAAGGGTATTGGTTAAAGAGTTCGTGATCTATTCCCACTGGAAACCGGAGGATTGTCACGTAGGGAAGACGTGAATTGTACTAAGTCCTTTGCTCACCGACCCGCGACCCTGATGAAAGTGTACTAAGCTTTGGTCTTTACTGTGATAGACATGATAAGAGCAAGATTGCATACTCTGCGAAATATGGCAAAAATAGAATCGATCCTTCCTCGGTTTTATATATTTTTGCTATTCCTTAAAGTCTGATGATATGTCATAGTAAGGACTGTTTCATCGGGGTGGCAAATTGCTGATCCGAAGACCTATTTGCAGAATTATAGTCTTACTTAGGCAGCAATCATTAGTATTGTGATGTTAATAGATCACAAACTCCTTTCTCTTCGAACTGGAAAGTCATGCCAGGATGATGCATTAAGGAATTTTATGAAAGCAAGTTTCTCCTTTAATCTTCGAAGCCGCTTACTGTTGCCTCCCAATTGACTTAGTAACCAGTCTGCGTAGTTTCGTTACTTCTACTCATCGTTAAAATATACGTATGTAAGTTGATTCGGAATTTGTGTCAGATATTATTGGCACGGAAAATGATATCATGGAAGCAGGCAAACACAGAAGAGGATTTCAAGGCATCGGCACAATTATAATTATTCACACAATAACTATATCATGCCTTGGATTCATGTAAGAGAAAATTTTGGCGATTTCCTGAATCTTATAAATTGGATTTATAAATCAACCAAATTTAAAATACAAGTGTACAAGCGACTGCTTTCCTGAACGTTGAAGTCACTTGCTAATCACAACGGCAAAAAGCGATGATGAGAATGTCGAGCATGATAACAAATACCGAATATTTACGGATGGAATTATAAGGAAGTAATTGACAGACTCGCCCAGCCATACGTCACGGGCGGCTAAACGAATTTGAATCTTCCTTGCCCACCACAATGTTATCATATCCAGCACTACAATTCAATTACACAGCAAGACAATAGGTTAGAATTTCACGCCAAGAATTCCCGCACAAGTCACCAGCTTTACTTCACAAGGACACGCAACCTTGTTAGAAAGTTCTAGTTATCATAAACAATTTCTGAGCAGTTCAGAGGCAAATAGGAATCTCCTACTTGACCGACAATAACCTTGTGGACATTGAATTTAGCCTTTCCTACACTTTTCAAAAAGCTACTTGAGTGGACTATTTTTGGCTTCGTATTGGAATTTGGAAAAGGCGCAACTTACATACAACGTAACATGTTTTAAAAGCGGCGGAGTGACAACGCCAATACAAACTGGAAACACCTCGAATAGGATGATGGCGCAGAGCGAAAACGCACAATCGCTAGCTGAGTAGCCTCCGGAGGTGAAGTCTAGGTAAAATTCAACGGTGCCATATCTCGCAGTGAAATGTTAAATTACATAACTATCGATTATTAGAAGTGAATTGAACTCGTTGTCGCAACTTGGTTTTGTTGACAGGGTGACTATGTAGAACGCATCTAGTCCGAAGTCGTCTGCCATAGTAGTTGTCATGATTCCCAGCATCTGAGAGTGGACTTTATACACTCCAAAGCGTTCCGCCAGCATCATCAGTGAGCTTTGCCATTCTCCGCACTAAGCTGCGAACCCGTCAGAGACAAGTGAAGTCAATCCCCAGATGACTTCGGAATATGTGCGTTCGATAGTCTCCATGCCAACAAGAAAAGTTGCTACTAGGTCAACCCACCTCTATAAATCGATAGGAGACTGCAACCATAATAGAAGCTACATCTTGGTCTTTATATATTCTATCAGTCTTTAATTGGCGTTAAGCGACTCGTGCTGAATTATTATAAGACCAATAATTCTATGATGTCCCGAGGAGATACATATATAGCGTGATCTGTATAACTAGTTATATGCACACAAGAAAGTTTCAAAAAGCAGTTTCATATGAAAATGTACATTTCAAACACCCTATTAATATAGTAGAAGCTAAGTTATTAGCGAATTACAAGAGATTTAAATACAAAAATTGTGAATCCTAGTCAGACGAAAGAATGAAGAAAAAGTGGAGGTGGAGAGATGCCATGTCTAAAGAAGCCAATGTTGCTAAATCGAAAAGCGCGAGGCTAGTTGCGATTCGACTACTTGACGTGTACACAGAAGAAAAAGGGCAGCCAACAAATCAGTATATCTGTACAACCCGAGCTTCATCAGGATAAGTGAAATGCCGTCGAATAAAACATCACGCCGACAATGCCGATACTAGGCGAGTTAGTGAATAATGCATAAATTCACATATTCAGCCCAACTTCTAGTCAAAGCGCAGAATGAATGTGAGCGAATCATTTGTCGAAATTTGGGCACGGTCAGGCGCCTGAAAAACTGAAGCGGACTGACCACAGATGAATAAAGCTACTCCTGATTTCATCCAGAGCACGAAGAAGTGTGTTCAATTCAACCGACACCCATGCTGAGTTGGCCCGCTGAGTTAGATGCCCCAGCATTATCCAAACAATGAGGACAGTGTAGATAAAAGGCGAAAATGCACCTTGATCCCACGCCGAGATTCGGAAGCAAGTAAACTGGCCCACTTGAAAACAAATCATAAAACTCTTGACAATAGCACTCCTGCATGCTGAAAAGACTCCAACTTGACCGGCTGCGAAAACCTGCTCAAAATTGGCCGAATTCCCCCAAAATCCGGGAATCTTGCATATTAGCTCCCTGATTGTTTTCATAAGCGCCCAAGGTCGGTTCAGACTAACGGAGGGGAGAAAGAATGTTCTGCAAGCTAATAAGGGATGATGTTTTCGCTCCATTTTGCGAAAAACTACCAGCTGACCAAAAGTACACTTATTAATCGAGTAAAAATAAAATACAGACAAATAAATCAGTTCGCGTGTAAATATTACATTGATAAAGCAAGACAAATTTTGATATGAAAATCCTCAAGTGAGGGAAAAGATTATTCGCAAAACCTTGATCTGCTGGCAAAGCAACTGAGACCGTTATCTACGAAAAGTCTTTGTTAGGCTAATATAACAGGCGACCAGGACAAGAGCCGTTGAGCCTTCGTCCATATCACATGACGTAAAAGCCTCGCTGCTGAATGGTTTGAAATCTCTAAGCCCCAGCCCACTGAGTGTATACCACCATCATGACTCTTCCACCTAATATTTGTTAAAATAAATGTTGGCAGCCATTCCACATGCAGTCCCACACAAAAAGGAACAGCAAATTAAAGTCGAGAACGGATTATTTGAGTAAAAGATGATGAATACCAACATAGTGCTTAAGTCCAAACTGAAAAATGACCGATGAAATCTATTCCC